TTGTTTTGTTTTTCACTTCATGTATAAAGCTTATATTAACTTCATGATCTATTTGAATTGCCAATTCATTATACATTTAAATTCAATTCAAAATTTTTTGGAATAATTAAAGTCATATTGAATGACTATTTTATTTATCTGATCAACTAATGATAGTTTCGGGTTGTTAGCAGCTGGCAGACCGAGTAATGCATCTGTACAACGGCGCCATGGTAAATCATTATATTCACATGCCCTAATTTAGATGTTTTCATTCCAGTGATTGTTGCAATATATATGTGTGTGTTTGTGTGTTTGAATTATCCTCAATTTATCACATTATAGGTTTTATGAGAACAACAATGTTATTTGTATATTTTCATTTCCTTAAATCGGCCCGTGTCTTATTTGTTTATGTCCTTTTATTTTGGATATAAAATGGTACAAAAACAGTTGTGTTTTATTTGTTCATCTCTTAGGATACATAGAAGTAGGATTATAATAAACAAAATAGTTTATATATATATTCAGTACATGTCTTGGTCAAACTTAATGTATATCCACAGGTAACAAGGAACTGAAGGGATTGCTTTCTGCAATGAGTAACAAATGTTAAGTGCTTTTGACTACCTTAAAAAGTTCATATAATTTTATTTAGTTTGTTGAATGTTAAAAATCAAATCTTCATGTCATCATTATTAATTACAATTGCATAATTTGAACATACAAATCATAAATTTTAAGTAATTCAAACAAGAGTTAGAAAGAAGCCCAAGAATCATTTAAAGTTAATTATTTTACTTTTTTGCTGTCCATATAAGGATTTGTGGGTGCCCGCTGCAAAGAAGACATTTTACTTATTTGTACATTGAGTGCTAATTCCCAGTTGCAAGGGTCGATTCTGGGCTAATGCTTGTGCCATTATTGCTAAAATTGGTTTCATGCTAGTTTGTCTTCTTTGCAGCAATATTGGTTAATTTCTTCCCGGTTTTCTCTATCTCTTTGATCATTTGAGTTAGATATCAATGGCATTGCTTAGATTTTTTAACAAAATGAAGATACTATTGGTTTAAAAATCTGGAGACTAATCTCCCTTTTTCCAAACCAACTCCTATCCTAGACCAAGTTCTTGTAGGTGTACTTATTTATTGTTGGATTGGGATTCCATGCTTTATATTTATTTTGTGTGACTCGTTAACTTATGGCATTTGTTAATTGTTGCTTAAAAGAATGAATTTGTTTCATTGACATTTGTTTTGGCATGCCTTCTCTTGGTTATAAATTTGGTATGCTCGTGCTTCTTCCCTTTCTACATTCCATATATAAAATCAATTTTTCTTTGCAGAAGAGCTTCAACTCTCATTTGGCTCTCTATATATATATATTTTCTTTTGAAAAAAAGTCAGGAGGAACAAACTTTTATACTTTTGTGCTATGAACTCAGTACAGAAGCAATCAATTAAGCTAGAACAATCATTATATAATTCCTTAGTTTTGTTGAATAGTCTATCTCTAAATTAGATGCTTCATTCTTTCTACTTAAAAAAAAATTGTGGACCACCTCATGTTGTTTTCATATTCTATATGTCCTAAAAATAGGTTCATTTCAAACTGTTACCAAGTATTTTAATTGATTCTCTCACAAGCTTTACTTCAAAGCAACATTCTTATACAAAGTGCTTCACAGACTTGGAATACCCAAATGGAGCACTAGATTGTCGTGTTACAATTGTGATGGGTGACAACCCAGATGTGATATAGTAAGGGGCAGAAATATGGAGGTAACCAACATAGTTTCTTTTTAATTTAATTAATTAATTAATTTATTTTTTTACATGATAAAATACACCATTCTATATCTTGCAGCCAAATCGTAGATTTACTGAATCAATTTGAAGAATGTTATACACCCTTACTCTTCGAGAAGATCAAATAGCAGATTTCTTAGCTGGTAGAGCTCGGAGGGGATGACTGAACTTTGCTATAATACTTATTCTTATAAGGAATTTCCAAGGTTGGTTGTGTTGGTATAAATTTAGTAAAGCTCACGCTTCTTCCCTTTCTACAGCTCATATAGAAACAATGTTTCTTTGCAGAAGATCTTCAACTCTCATTTGCAGAAGTAGTTTTTATATGGAACACTATAATATATATATATATATATATATATATATATATCGTTGAAGAAAATAGTACTAACTGCCAAAGAACAGAACTTATCTAAATTTGGTGAAAGTGAGAGGTTGGTGATTTTTTATTTTTTTGTAGAATTAAATATTAGTTATAAAAAAAGGGATAAAGTTGACTATTTCAGATGACGTCACAATACGAACTTGAATTTGCTATAACAAGATTACAAGAAGGGAAGGAAGGATGAGTTTGTATTTGTATTGATAAATTAGTTGGATGTCATTTGTGTTAAAACTGACATATTTGTATTCAAGTGAGTTTGAGTTCTCATCAAAATGGCAGCTAAAAAACTGAACTGGTTGGTTTTAGACATTTTTAGCAATCCGATCAAATGAAAAATAAAAATAAAAATAGAAATTTCCCAAATTGAACTATTATTATTCTTGAGCAAGCACTTTAATTTTTGGTATGTAGTACAATGTCAATATGTACGTTATAGATTGAAAAAGTAAATCACAAAAAACATACATACTTTGGATATAGCTTCAGTGTCAGAATGTAGATTCAATTTATGCATGTTGTGTTATAGGGAGCAGAAATTTAATATTTTAACTTTCTTTCAATCCCAATTTTAAAGTTCGTCAATTACATTATTTCAAATGCATCATAAATGTATTTAGTTAGTTTTAAATTTTTAGCAATCCAATAAAATTACAGACATCCATATGTTTCTTCTTGTTTGAGGTTAGAACTATACAAATGTTTATATTATATTTATAGCAATTTAATATTTTAACTTTCTTTCAATCCCAATTTTAAAGGTTGTCAATTACATTGTTTCAAATGCATCATAAATGTATTTAGTTAGTTTTAGATTTTTAGCAATCCAATAAAAATATTTTTTTCTTGTTTGAAGTTAGAAGTTATATTATATTTATAGCAATTTAAAACCCCAAACTTGGTGAGAGAAATGGTTTGCTTTGAAACAAATTAAGCCCCTGTAAGCCCGCAATGTATTTGTATGTGTATCTATCTATATATATATATATATATACATCTACACTCCTTTTTTAAAATTGTGTAGAGATTCAATATTTATGTACACTTTAAAACCTTTTAACCTATTAAATAAAATAATTAATAGTCATCTTCTTAACTACAAAGTTTACTTGTAAAGATATGCCATCCTCAGTTTGGAGTATTCAAATCAATAAAGAGCTTAGTCATTTCCTTGTCCAAAGTTGAATTGTAAAGATACTACTACACATGCTTTAAAAAGAAATAAAGCAAAGAGATTATTTTTCTTGAAAGTAATTGTGTTGGTGAAATTAAAACACAAGAATGGTTGCCCTCTTTTGGGTATTGTTTCTTTAATGCTCTAAACAATAAGATTATTATAATAATAATTATTTTTTTTTCAAGGTAAGAAAGTTAGTATGTTAATGGATGGATGGGTGGGGATTCGGACTTGGGCCAAAGGCCCTAAACACGCTGGGCTATCACACCACCCCCATTAAGATTAATTTGAAATGTGTTTGTTTTCAATTGGGTCCAAGGCAGAAAACACTCCTAAATTCTGCTAGCAGTGTATATCAGACCCTTTACATGCAAAAAACATAAAGTTTCAATTTGGTGCAAATGGGTTCTTCAGACAAATTAAACCCTAAGTTGACTAAATTACCCTTATTAAACTATTTTATAAAATATATAAAAATAAATAATTTTGTAAAATGACCGAAAATGACGCTATTGGTTGGTGCAAATAGGCACATTTGACAAATTTAAATCTTAAGTTGACTAAATTACCCTTATTGAACAATTTTGTAAAATATAAAATTTTATAAAATGGCTGAAAAGGACATTATTGGAAGACGTTGACAATGGACAAGAAAGATAAAAATAAAAGTATAAAAGTATAAAAATAAAGAAAATATAAAAATAGAATTTAAAAAATAAAAATAAAGTGTAAACTAAAGAAAACAATCTGCTCAAAACTCCGAAAACTAATGCACACTGATATTGAGATTTTTTTCCCCCCCTTTTTTTTTCTTTGAAAAAAAATAAAATAAAGAATTTTTTTTTTAGTAGAAAACAGTAAAACAAAATCTCAACAAATTCAAATTCTTGTTTTACAAATTCTCAAAGTTTTTTTTTCTTTTTTTAATTTTTAAAAAAAGGTTTAGAGATATACATTGAAAAAAAGTTTTTTTTTAAAAAATAGAAGGTAATGTGCACATAATACCCCTATACTATTAGATTAATAACATATATACCCCCTTGAGCATTTTTGAAAGAGTAAAAAGGGTAAAACGGATATTACAACACTAATTTATGTTAGGAAAAATATTTTTGCACAATGTAAAAAGATTGAGGGTGTTTTTTGTACACTATTCTTTTGTTCACTTTGTTATGAGACATTCTCGTGTACGTTTGTATTGCACAAGAACAAAAATTGTATAGACGGTTGTTTTTATTCTAGTGATTGTTGTAATATTTGTGTATATATACATTCCTAAAATTTATCACCTTATAGCTTTTAGGCCTTGTGTATCTTCTTAGGGATGCTTTTCTTTTGAATGCTTCTCCATACGGTAACAATGTTTCTTAGCAAAAAATTTTCAACTCTCATTTGCCTCTGTATTTGTTTCTTTTGATAAAATGCGGAGCAACATACTTTTAGACCTTTGTTTGCATATTCCATATGGCCTAAAAATATGTTCATTTCGTGGTAAGTTTATTCCTGCATTAGTTTTATATTACCGAAATTTGTACACACAATAAATTTATTTAGTTCTTAACTAATATACGAGAATTGTTCTTCCAAACTTTTTTGCACAATGTAAGCCACTGACAATAGTACTTGTGGAATGCTGAGTGTAATGGAACATGGAGTGAAATAAATTAGTAGAAAACGTACAACATTATTATAATGGCTATGGATACATTGCCCAAATGAAGCTTCAAACACGGTACAAATTATGGCTTGACCAAATTGAAGACAACGGTCGAATGTTTTGCAATGTGCAAGCTGAATTGCCCTCCTTTTTCGCTTACATCAATCTTTTGCATCCCCAATGGTACTTGCATTTCGAAATTTGTTACCAATTTCGCGATCACAAGCGCTAGGATTGGCAGTGCAAGTATTATTCCAGGGCAGCTCCGCCTACCCACACCAAATGGCAAGTACCGGAAATCAACCTTGCCACCAGCCACGGCTTCCATGCCACTCTCCTCTTCCAAGAAACGCTCTGGCCGGAATTTGTTTGGGTTTTTCCACCATGCTGGGTTGTTGGCCAGCCACCAAGCATTGACAACCACCTTTGACTCTTTAGGGATAGTGTAACCTCCTAGCTTAGCCTCTTCAAGGTTCATGTGTGGTACTAATAAAGGTATTGGAGTGTGTAACCTCAATGTTTCTTTTACTGTGGCTTGCAAGTATGGTAATTCATGTAGGTTAGATTCTGTGACTGGATTTCCTTTAAGGACGGCTGTGATTTCATCTCGAATCTTGCGTTGGACGGTCGGATGGTTGACCAGCTCAGCTATGGCCCACTCCATGGACCACAGAGTAGTCTCTATTGCTGCTACATTAATGTTCTCTACAATGTAGAGCACATTCTCTTCACTGATTTCTCCCTTCATTTGAGCATCTAGTATGTGATCAATGGCACAACTTATCTTGTGCTTCTCTCCATTGTCAGCCATTATTTTCCTATATAACATCATAAATATAAATTGATAATTATAATTAAATGTAGCATTATTTGGAATATCCTTAAAAAAAAAAAAAAAAAAAAAAAAAATGGAAAACAATGCTGAGTGACCATTAAAAGTTTAATACATATATTAGGCATTAGGATTTATATGTGTGTGTAAGTGGGTGTGAGAACAAAGCTAATATAGTTTTTCTCTGTTATAATTATAAGGTAAAAGAGCAAAGCAAAATTGTAAGATTTTCTTTTTAAACCCTAGAAATTAAGAGCAAAAAAACAACTTACCTTCTGCTCTCAACATAGTAATTGTTGAAAAATGAAAGCCTCCTACGCTGCAAGTCCCTGCATTTGTTCAAATACCCCCTTAAGAATGGTCTAAGCAAAGGGATGAAGTCTCCATAGTTGTACTCGAAGCTCTGAGCCAGCCGGCTTCTCTCGGAATTAAACCCAGTTGCCTCGATGAACAATGGATCCTCTTGTGACTCAAATTTCGTATCAAACATCATCCGGTACATGATATTATATAGCATCAATTGCAAGCGTTTTCTTATCACTATCCCTTCCTTTCTTACTTTCTGGTCATTCATTAAATCATGAACAACTGTGTCCATTTCTTCCTCCCACATATCACTATAGTGGTGTACCACTTTGTTAGTGAAAAATGGGAGAGTCATGATTCGTCGCATTTTGCGCCAATGATCACCATAAATGGTGAAGACCATGTCCTGCCCATTGCCTGTAAAGATATCAAATACAACGTTCCGTGGGCGGGAACCAAATTCGACACCTTGTGTGTGCAAGACTTGGTTGGCTAGCTCAGGATCTGATACCACGGCTAATTTTTTCGAGCCAAGTTTGAGCAAAAATAATGGACCATACGTTTGTGACATGGTGGCGAGGAGGCGGTGGTTCAAGTCATTGCCAACTTGGAGCCAGTTGCCGAAAATGGGGATGGAGCGTGGGCCGGGAGGGAGGTTGTTTGAGTGGTTGAAGATGGTGTGGAAAAGGCTGATAGTGAGGGGAAGCATTACAAGAGCTAGTGTGAGTCGTGTTTGAGGGTAAGAGAATGTCAACTCAGCAAAGGAGAGAAGTGCAATTGTAAATAGCGTGCAACACATGAATTTTGTAATAAGTTGGCCCATGATTTGTGTGTGTCTGTGTGTGTGAGAGAGAGAGAGACAGAGAGATTGAGAGATAGGTATAAGCATTTGGAGGGAAGGAATGTTTGTTTATATATGGATATAGATTGGAGGGTAGGAGGGTTGGTGTCCAATGGTTTTAGGAAAACCCATGGGCTCTCTCTCAAAATCTAGGTAGGGGGATGAGGTACTCTTTTCTCCAAGTCAAAAAGTGGTTGGTACTTGGTAGGTAAAATGCCTCTAGCTCTAATATCTTCATTTTTCTTTCTAATGTGAGTTGGGATGATTCAACTTGACTCCAACTTTAATTTTTATTTTAACCTCTTAAAAAATTATCATTGTTGTTATTATTACATGTAAGTGAGGCAAATATTAATAGTAGAGGTAGGGATGTCAATTTTTACCGCCCCGTCGGGGCTCCGCCCTGTTCCGCCCCGTTAATAACGGATATGGGAACACTTATTATACCGTTGGGGCGGACATGGATACAAATTTTGTACCCGTCGAGGGTCACGGGGCGGGTAAGGGTTCAATATACATATCCTAGGGGGCCCGCCCCGCCCCGCCCCGCCCCGCATATAACTATATTTAATATATATATATATATATTAATAAGTTATTTTAGCGGCTTACCCAACCCATCTCTTACAATCCTAATTTGGGATGTAAACTTGGTATTAAATTTGCTTTTGTTTTGGTTATGGTGGAAGTTGGAGCTTAGAACTTCTTGTAATTTGGTTGTATTAAACTTTTATTTTTGTTTATTATGTTCTTTGAATTATGTTATGTGCATGTTATTTTTTTTATTTTTGTTATAATACATAATTTTATTTATATTGTGTCATTCCTAGGCTTTGTACATTTAAATAGCAGGAGTTTAAGTTCCAAAAAGTGGGAGAAAAAAATTTGTTAGTGGGGCGGGCACGGGGGCACAGTATTTCCTAACGGGGCGGGGTTGGATATGAAAATTCAACCCGTCGCGGGTCTCGGGGCGGGCATGGACTTGACAAAAATTAAAAGGGGCGGGGCGGGATTTAGGGAAACCCGCTCCAAACCCGCCCCGTTGCCATCCCTAAGTAGAGGGTCAAGATTGAAATTTTTAGGCTATTATTTTATTTTATTTTAATATTAATGGTGAGCCACAAATCCTATTATGTGTTGGATTATTCTAGTCTATGTTTGGCATTTGATTGAGTTTCTTTAACGTGACCATCAAATCCCTTTCTAGAGATTGAATTGGGATTTAGCCAGTAAGTGAAATTTCTGACGTAGTCCAATCACAATTGGACATATATATTTTAAAATCAGAAAATTAATAAATACGAAAAATATTATTTTAGAATAAAAAGAGTCGCCCTATGAGTTATTTATTTATTTATTGTTTCCTAATTTTATAATTACATATAATGTGTGCATTTGTAATTGGAGCACATCAGCGATTAGTAGAGATCACCTAAGTAGGAAAGTATTGTCCATTTACTATTTATCAATGCAGCTAGAGTGAATAATTAAAAATTAGATGATGCTTCCAATTTTATCATACTTTATGATGTCACTTAATGGTTAAAAACAAAAAAGAATTTGCTCTTTTTCTTTTACTTTTTTTTCCCCTCCCCTTTATTATGCTTTAAAAAATGTAGGCTGCAAGAATTACGTCTATTTTTACTAAAAAGAATCCAAAAAAAAAAAAAAATAATACTCCATAATAAAAAGAAAAAAACACACACAATTATTTTGATTTGGGTCAACATAGTTCAATTGATTCATGCGTATCAACCTGTTTAAATATACACTGTTTGGGTTTGCTATCCATTTTTAACCATCCAAAAACAGGAGTCCGTCAAAAAAAGGAAAAATAATTTTAAACGGATTTTTCAAACCAATATTAGATTATCGAAGGGTTTTATTCTTTTAACGCATGGAACTCAAGTTTTTCTTGGATTTATTTACTGCATCAAAAGAATAAAAATACTTTGTAATCCCATTTAGAAAATACTCTAGTTTTTCTTGAAAAAAAGAAAAGAAAAAACCCATCAAAAGGAAAGAAAAGGAATCATTCTTACCTTCGAATATGGTGGTTAGGCAAATCATATGCCTGTTAATCCACCCTTGACTGCTAATGCAAAGGAGGCAAAATCTTTTGCTGGTAGAAAAAAACTAGCTGGTATTTTCAGCGCAGCAGTACCCATCTTCTTCAGTAATCAAAAAGGATCCAACCGGCTTAGATGGATCGGTTGTTCAAGCGATAAAACAGGCGACCAATAATATGGAAAAATTTTCTGAATTGACCACCTTTGTTCATTCATTTTGTTAGTAACTGAATTATGCTCAAAACAAGTCATGGCTCAGTTACTTATGCAACCAAATAATGTGGAAAATAGAAGGAAAAAAATAAATAACTAAATAAAATCAACTCCATGGCTACTTTGCGTTAGTGTCTTATATCCTTGAAAGAAACCTAAAATCAAGCTTCTACATGTAGATAAAAAGTGATTCTATGCAAACATAACACAATCAAGTTTTGAGGCTACGAGAAAGCATTGTAATGCCAAAAAAAAAAAAAAAAAAAGTACAAAATGTGGTACCTTAGTTCACCGTCAAATTTTTTTTGTTCTCGCACAAAACTCAAGGTATCACTTTTAATAGCTCAGAGATTGTTGTGGCCTGTATGAGAGTCAAATCTAACCTAGCACCAATCAATCAAGAATGCATGAACACCAAACAGAACAAAGGAATAGAATTCAGGTTAACCAGGTTTGATTTACTAGAAAAAAACAAGGGTCAAGGGCAATAAACCCTCCTGAAATTTGCCCAAAATTGCTATAAATCCCCCATCTTATATTTTTTGGCTAATAACCCCTTATAGTAAAACAACTTTGGCACATAGTACCCTTACATCAATGCGGCATCTAAGAATTTATAGTAATAAATATCAAGTGCATGTCAGGTGAGATTATTTAACTTATGTTTGCCCCTAATTCACTATGCCTCTAACCCATTTGTATTGATCCAACATTACAAAGCCTTACATGTTAGCAATTTTTATTACCATTTCACTTATTCATTTCTTCTTCCTAGAATACCCTAATATATATAAAAGCAAATAAGAAGTATACACAAATACAGCCTTAATACATCGGTTAAATCTCAATGTCCAGCAATGGATATCTCTCAATGTCCAACAAAAAGGAGGAGGAGGAAAAGAAAAACCACTAGAACAACGAATTAAACTCGAGGTAACATCTATAAATGACGGAAATACAGGATCTGACTTCAAGGTTGAGAAACCACTGATAACACCAACATATTACTCTGAATTAGAGGTCAACTAAAGGTCTGACCATATTTGAAATTATGAAAATCACAAACAATGGCAAACAAACGGTTAGCCTTTAAATTCTTTAAGGCTATATGATCATTTAGAGGTCAATGAATGGAAAAACAAGAAAAATAATGCCTTGAATCACAAACACCGGCAAGTTAATAGAAGATGTAGATACTTAAATTTTGTGGTGGTGTAATCATCTTTGGATTGGTCAAAAGGTCAAAATCGGCAAATGCCAGTCCCGCGACAGCCATGTGGCAAAATCTTGAAATCCAAACTTTCTATCGAAAGTTGACAAATCAAATTCAAATTTATTTCGTAACAAAGAGAGACAAATATCTCTTGATTTTAGGAATAATTTAGCACAATTAGTGGGGAGTTTCCAAACTAAATGCCCCACTCCTTGGCCTATAAATACGAGGCCATCCTACACATTCTAGGAGAGAGACACGGACACAGACGGAGATAGACACAAAAGCTTTGCCGAATCTCCGCAACAAAGACTGCGAAGTCTTTGAAGACGAAGAACAACAAGCAAGCCACACCAGTGCAGTTCTTTATCGAAGCCCAAGCACGTCACGCGAGTGCCGTTCTTGATCATCGAAGATCTTAAACAGTTGAAGATTTAGAAGACAAAGAATGACAAGCACACGAATGCCGTTCTTCCCCGAAGACCTTCAAATTCACCGTTCGAGATCAAGTTTCATTGGCCCTCGATCGGTAATCCAATCAAGACTTCTTCAATCTTGAAGATTTGAAGAATGTTCAACCACTGGTTCAAGATCAAGCTTCTAAAGTCTTGCGCCGATTTTCTGAGGGGATTTAATCAAAGAAAGATTTTATGTTGTAATAAAATCGACCACAGAAAATTGTACAACTTTTCTGAAAATTAATAAAATTAATTATTTGTCTGTCTTTCGGGACACGAAGTTTGAATGTACAGAAGAAAGAGATGAGATCATGGGAAAATACAAAGAAGTACAACAATTGCCTTAAGAATTTTCCAAAATAGCCAACCATGTGCTGGGATTTGGTAAAAGGGTACATAAAACATAAACCATTAGATGTTACACTTGGTTAACCTTTTTTATTGTTGCAAATACATCCCCTCAGGTTTGGGGCTTTGAAATCAAACCGTACATATACAAATACATCGCACATGCATCGCACGTGCCTTTTCCTTTTATCTACTAAGGTAAATTTCACTCACACCCCCTCAGATTTGGCCATTTTTCACCTCAATTTTTTTTCGAAAATAAATATGTCCAACCATTCCTCCTTCCACAATTTCAGGGGAATTGATTTTGTAAGCCACTCATCCTTCCAAAATTTTAGAGGAATTAGGCATGGACAAACCCCACAAAAGGGACCGATAGGAGATTAAAAATCTAGGATAATGATTGAAGATTGAGGCCCTTCTAATTGCAAACATCTTCAGATTTGAATTTCTTAAGTGAAGCACTTGAAATCCTTTGGTGGAATAAGCCAACTTCAGACTTTCGATTCTTTCTCAATTGTTTGTCCTCAGTTCTCTGCACTTACTTCTTAAATCAACAACTAAAAGGTCACAGGTGGCTAACAATCTCAAGCCTGTAATAAAATGTGTAGGAGATTTGGAAGAAATCGGCTCTGATAGGTCAACAACCAAGGGTTATAAGTAGCTAACAGTCTCAAGCTT